AGATGTGTATAAGAGACCTCATCATCAGTTGGCTGTGTTAACATCTCGTTACGGTTGAGTGAATCAGCTGACTCCCTGTCTAGTGCAAAATTCACGAAACAAAAACTGGGGCAAACTGTTATTTTACACATAAATGAGACATTTTCATAAGTGAAAACCCATATAAATGAAAAGAACGGCCAAATATACGTTGGAATATCTAAAGTCTGACACGATTTTGTTATGGGGTTACCGAATGCAAGCATTTGAAGTCGGTCCATTTTAGGAAATTCCCTATCTTTTAACACTAGCTCAAAATCCTGTAGCACCACTTCGTTTTTGGGACCCAGTTCACGAGCCTCGTTTTCGAATACCGTGCTCCAAAATCAAGTGCTATCACGTTCTTTGTGGTCCCCCATCCCTCTATTTTATATTAAGCATTAATTATTTCAAACCCGCACTTGGCCTTTAACCTTAACTTTAACGTTAGTACCCAACATGCAGCGTGATAGCTCCGCCTCTTTTGTAAACAAATCGAAATACGCATGGGCAAACCTGTAACTAACGTACTTTGAGCACTTAAAATCCTGAAATTAATGTACTCCGCAACGCAAGATGAATAAATTATCACGTCATCCATCAACGTAAAGGTTAACGTCGTGCGGCGAAAGCTACCTAATAACTATAGTTGCCACAAAGTTGTTCAATGTTTAACATTTATATTGATTTCTTGGTTGTTGCGATTATCCATACCATGGTCCATAGTCTCAACATCATTCATCGCTTTAACGATGCTTTTCAATTATTTTTTAAAAACTGTTTTCGATTATTGTTATTAAAGCAACACTATTATAGTATAAGGGACAAGGCGACTTGATTTTATTAAACTTTATTTTTATTTCTCCTTTCTTTTCATGCTGTTCACAGTTAAGTTACCGATCTTCACAGCAGAGAGAGATTGCGTGACACCGATTCAACCTAAGTGTTCATCTAAAATGCGACCAAAGATGGATCGACCAAAATCAATGTTAATGGTTTTCTTTGAACTTTGCCAAACAGATACTTTTGGAAAAACACTGTAGGCCTACTATCCTGATATTTCAACGTGCTGATATTATTTTACTAGTACTGTACTCAAAATTTCTACTACATTAAAAAAAATTAAACAAAAAAAATCACCAATTTGACTAAATGTATTGCAAAGACATCTTTCATCTTTTTTCATTTGAGGCTGGTAATATAGCAACACAAATTTCTCTCACCATAAACACCAATATATTGGGCTTACACTATAGATTGTTAAAAGCAACGTTTAAATTTGAAACACATTTAATTACATTGATTACAACGATGCGGGAACCTTAAGTTGCTTATATCAGAGAGCCGATATTTACCCGAAGAATCAAACTATGTAGCCTACAGTGAGTAGCATTTAACATTGATTTGCATTGAAATTTTCAAAAAATTAGCGGCAAACGGGGGGGGGGGGGGGGCACGTTCCCCCTGTTTTGACACTAAATTTTTAAAATTGCAATGCATGTCAGTGTTATGTGTTAACTCTCTTATCTATTCTAAAACTGTTGTGCCCCCCACCCTTTTTTTTGAAAAATTCTGGATCAGCCCCTGCTATGTGTTAAAAAGGAACAGCAAAGAAACAAATACGTTAAAAATACTTTTATACCCGCCCGAAAAATTAAAAGACGATTACCGATTAGACACAGACTCGATCTGTAATGAAATTACAATACAAATATTTCTATTATTTGTTTTAATGCTTCCATGACATTCATTCTGCTAACGAGAATGGTGAAGATGTTGATTTCTTTCAACTTTTTCATTACATTGATTTGGCTAACGAGAATGATCATGACAACTACAGCAAAAAGGCGTCTAGTTTTTATTTCAGTTCCACCAGAACACCAGCAATGACAACTAGAGTACCAATGTAGTAGTAGTAAAACTTCATTTGGCCTATTCACGAAGTACAAATCAACAAATATAATGCTGTTTTTTTATTATGGTCGACAGACACCTTATTTACAATTAACATAAATTACACAGTACGGTACATAATAAACAAAACTTAAGCGCAGAAATTAAATGATATAGATACCAAACATAATTATTGTACAGTACGCAAAAGTCAACAATTTATTAAAATAAAGGTATATATAGCAACAATGGCAAAATAAATTAACGAATAGAAGAAAATTCACTCCTCAAAAATAAACTGTAATTTACGAAAGAGAAATGAAAAATATTAATAAAACAAAGCAAGAAAACATTAAATTAGTGATTTATGCAATATTTATACTATTATACTTTGTTTTCATTAATTATTAATACAAATGTGGTTCTTGAAAATACTTAAATTGATAGAAGACTGTATATCAGGGTTTAATATATTCCATTCGATAGCACTATCATATGAAATACATTTTTGTTTAATTAGTCTCATGCATTCAGTTTGCCTTGATTCCCGTCCTAAGGACGGGTACACAGCTAGCAGTATATATACGAACTTAATTTACAAAATTGTACTTTTAAATATAATGTAAAAACATATTACCTTCAGTAGCCCCTGTAAAAGCTTGATTTCCATACATTTTGACTACTTGCTTGAAAATTGACGCGAGAATTCAATACAAATGCCTTTTACTTATATAGCAGTCACTGAACCTCCATCAACCTGCTTACACTCTTCAACTACTCCGCAAATATATGCCTGGTCCTTTCCTAAGGTCATCTGATCTCCATTTGATTTCAGTTCCTTGCACTAATACCAAGACCATTGCACACAGATTATTATTATTTGCGGCCGCCACAATCTGGAATGCACTGCCACTTCACATTAAAAAAGTAAAATCCATTGCTTCATTTAGGAAATCATATAAAACGCATTTATTGCAGCAATAACATAGAGCGCCATCGACAATCACTTCGGTATTTTTAAATGGTGCTATATAGATTAAGATATCTTCTTTAACTGTACAAATTGTCTTCTAAAACTGAAAACACACAAAAAAGAATTTATTTAATCTAAATTTTTGTATTTTGTCATACAAAGCGTTAAAATACTTTCTGGCAACAAAAAATTAATGAGTTTTAATAAGATATATACATAATTTGTATATATCTTATTAAAAATCATAATTGTTTCTTTTTTTTTTCCAGAGAGTAGGCC